AACACCCCGGCAACTCATCGATGGATTTGCTTCAGTTCGACTGACGAGTACTTGGCGATCGACTTCGTGGACGTCCCTCTCTTGGCTTGCCGTTCAATCGGTTTCCTTTTTCACCAAGTGCCTTGAACTAGCGCTAAGCTGTACAAACATTGCAAAATCTGTGACTAAACGCCTTATCGCCAAGCTTCAGAAGCGTTCGCACGCCATTTCTAATGGAAGTGGAGCAGCAAACGGATTTCAACCTTGGACAGTTGCATTTTGAACGCAGAGTAGACAAATGATATACCATTCGATGAGCAAGAAAGCGAGCTTTCTGATGATCTCAATTCCCATAAAATACATATGTACAAATCATTTTCTCAAGCAATACGACAGAACTTTTCTACAATGTATTATGATTGTCATACATACAGGATCATCAGTGTGAGTTGTAGGGGCTGTAGTTACGAAATTGTTGGCAGTAACTGTAGACTCCATTTTGAATGTGCCTTTCGTAGACTTCACAAAAATAATTGTAGATGTTGTGAACTTTAGGCAAGAAAGGTCATTTTTCTGAAGACTGCATTAGAGCAGCTTATCGTAGAACTCGTAAGAAGAGATGTATTCGAATAAATATTCTATATTCTGAAGGTGTAAACATCGCTAGAAAAACAAATAAGATTGCATATTCTCTCAAAAGGCTTGCTGCGCGTGGTGAGAGTGATGCAAATTGTCAATTGTTGCCCAATGCTGTTTGTACAACGGTAAATTTTTCTGCCCGATGTTGATTGCATAATTTGCTTATTTCGCAAGAAATATTTTGAAAAAAGATTTACAGCATCACTAAACTCTTTGAAAACACGGAACGCAAAAAACTTTTTTCCCAAGAAAGCAATCTTAATAAATGCGTACTTTGACAAAGCTTACTACGGCTGTGCATCAAAGATTCCTCCACATACGCTTCATCTAAAAGTCATACATCGTGTAAAATATCCTTCTGAATTTCAGTTTCATGAATCGCCGAAAAAAGGCAATAGTACTTGGAAATGCGTTCTTTTCTCAAGAATGCAGCCTTCGTATTGAAAAGTGAAGATTTCTAAGACATCTCTGTTAAGCGACATCCGCATTGACACATGCTCACCAAAGCACGCAGCTTCGTAACTCGATCCTCGGTAGTATAGTGGTTAGTATCCGCGTCTGTCACATGCGAGACCCGGGTTCAATTCCCGGCCGGGGAGTATGTTTTGACTTTTGATAGTCGAGCAACAATCTTTTTCTACGTAGCTGTAACCGACGTTTGGGATGACACATGTTTGCCAAAGCAGGCATTTTCATTCGCTCCTCGGAAGTATGATGGTTGGTATCCACCTCCGTCGCATACTAAAGCGTTAATCAACTCACAGCCATGTAGAAATTTTCTGATCGTCCGTATTTAAGAGCTACAAGTTCACCGAAGCAGAAACCATCGGCGGTCCTCTGTAGTATAGTGGCTAGTATCCACATCCGCCACAAGCGAAACCTGGGTTCAATTCCCAGTCAGGAAGAACGTTCTGGTTCGCGATAGTCCAGAACCAATCCTTTCCGAATCACCTGTTAGAAGACGTTTGCATTGACACGTGCTCGCAAAAGTAATTACTATTCGTTAAATCCTCATTAGCATGGTGGGTTAACGTCCTCGTCTGTTACATGTGAGAACAGAGTCCAAGCTTCTATCGGGTTTAACGGTTTTGTTTTCGATTGTCAAACACCAGTCCTTAATAACTTATCTCCTAGACGGCGTTTGTTCATACTCACCAAAGCACGTATTGTCACCTGTCCTCGTGAGTTTTCTTTGTACTGAAAGGAGTACAGAAGTCTTTTCCCTGCAGTATTAATCTACCTTTTCGCGGTCGTAATGACACTTCAAAATCAAAGCTTTGCCGTAAAACTACCAACAGATCCGCGACAAAGTTGGGATAACTACTCTGATGACAAAACGTTATCTTTCTTTCGTTACCAGAACGAAAAGAAGATAACCTTACATGAAACCAAGCTTTGTGTTTAAATCTATTGAAATACAGATTTCTCAAGCTGTTGACTATTACAAAAACATACGTAAGTTGAGAATAATGTTCAGTAATAGTTGGCATGATTCTGTTAACGATATGATCACGATCTTGTCTCCGTATAACCTATATAGGAAGGAGGAGGTGAAGAACGAACGTTACCGAGTGGTCAGGGACACTGGGAGCGGGATTGACCTCCTCCCACAACGCTCTCGGACAATGAATCAACAAACTTTAGCCCAACTCTCCCCAAGATTGTGAGGGTATTCGCTCGACTAGTAATCCACGATATTTATTAAAGAGACAAATTCCCAAGCAAGCGACGCAGTGTGAAAAGACGAACTGAATGTCAGCACTACTGGGATCAGCACACTAAGAAGAAATGTAATAAGGATGAAATAAAGTGATAACCTACATTTTATCATATAAATACGAGCTTATTTTCGGGGCAGGCGCAAATACAAATTACTAGTTATGTAGCGCGACAATCAGTGACTCATTGTGCTCTGATGATGAATTTTTATGCCTTTCATGAAGTCTGATATGGCACTTTGGATGCTAGATGTAGGTATTGGCTTGTTTGTCAGGCCTCATCAGTAGCACATGCCATACGGTTCAGCCGAGCCCTTACATTTAAGGGAGTAGGCACCGAACATCATACACTGAACGACAGACGAAAAGATCACCTGACATTGCAGTGACAGTGAATTGAGCAATGACTGTTGAAACAAGTACTATAAGACTTTTCTATTTAAATAATCTTTAAATCTCGTTTAAAACAGTATGATCTGATAACATATTTTGAGCCTTTCATGAGGTGTGACATGGTTTTTTGAGTGGTAGACATACGTGATATTTCCACATGGTGTGCAGTGTTAGGTGTTCGACGCCAATTCCCATATATGTTAGGGTTCGGTCGAATTGAAAGGCACGTGCAACTGATCAAGCTTGACATCAAGTTGAAACGAACGTCTAGCGCTCGAAGTGCCATATCACACCTCGTGAAAACCATGAAATATGTTATCAGATTATATTATTTTGTACGACGTTTCAAAAACATTGCATGGAAAGGAAATATTCATATCCAAGCATTGTTTGAACAGAAGATATGCAAGGATTGTAGGAAAGGCAGCACTCCAGACTTATGGTGACGTGAAGTATGACAGATGTGGCGTCAAAATTACCATCTACGAGCGAGTATCTAGAAAAAAATTCATATTGAAAAAACTGTGAAAATGTTGAATAATTCTATTTGTCTGTTTGTATTATGGATAGCACTGATACCCATGACTCCCCTGACCGACTATCGAAACCTCGGCATGATTGATTAACTCCTTGATTTTCTTATTCACTAAATACGAGGCTTTGAAGTTGAAGATTTATTCGTACAGGTCAACAGTACAATACACGTGATGGCTGACGTTTGGCCAATCTAATATGCAACATACTCAGTCGGGCACTCTCAAAACCAAAGCAGAAACAGATTACGTACCGTGTTTATTGTTGTTTTAGCGTCCGTAAGCTGTTTTGTGGACCGACCGCTCACAGTCTTGTTTGCGTTCTGCTTTGGTTTTGAGAGTGCTTGACTGAGTATGTTGCATAATAAATTGACTCTTTCGGGCTCTGAAGAAGGCGATCAAGCCGAAACGTCAGCCATCACGTGTGTTGTATTGTTTACACTGTACGAACAAATCTTCAACTCAACAGTCTCGTATTCACTTATCACCATAGTTATGCTAGCTGGACTAAATCTCAGAACACTGCTGTCAGAGGACGATGATTCTGAGAATACTGTGTGAGAGAACCTTGGAAACGAGATGACATATGCACCTTGTTATCTTGAGAGGTGAAAGATTGATTTTACCAATCTTCAAAGCGGGTCTTTTGAGTCTTTTATCGTGATTTCCTACGTGAAGTAAATAAATAACTAATCATGCTCTAGGCATCCATGGATTCCAGTAAGGAATCCACGAGACATACGACTGCATTAAAGCATCATTAGAGATGATTCAGTGCACATTTGGTCCATATAATGACTTGCAGTGCCCATAAACAAAGTGCCGCCTTCCACATAGCTCTGTTACCAATTCTCCGGAGATATACGATGGAAGGTACGGTGAGTCTCGAACACAACATGCAACGAAAGACCACGTGTATGCCGCCGAGCATCTCCAACCACTGCGCCAGACTTACTCCGTCAATCTCGTACCTTATTCAGTGTACTTTTATATGGAAATACTTAGTTTCAGCATACTATGAAATCAGTCGATTCGCCCAGTCGTCATGATGTGCCTCGACAAGTATATGTCCTTGGGTTTGAGAGCAAGGAAATATTCGAAGCGGATGATAAGCAGATAGTCACGGTTCGGATTTCGCTATGAGTGGTGGGGTTACGGTGGTCGTCCACAACACAGAGGCCGAATCATAAAAACGACGCTTTCAAAGCTTTCCCAGAGCTCTTTGTTCAGCCTTATAAGCTCTTTCAGAAGTACTCACCAAGTTCAATTAGATTAAGGGATAAAAGGATAGAGCTCTCAGCCATGAACAGAATCCCAGATGGAAATGCCATGCACTCTTCCTCGTCTGGCATCGCTTAAGGTTCCTGGATCTACATCTTACTTTTATAATGACTCGCGGTGACCTAACGAACTATTGAGTGAGTGGCGCTAGCCTCCCAGATAAGTGGCGCTAATTCATCTATCCCGAAGGGATGAAAGACTCGGTGAGTGCTCAGCGCGGGATCGAACTGTCAACCCTCGATTGATCAATCATATGTGTCGCACAGCACCTCTAACCTCTGCGCCACACACTCTGTTCAAAAACATTGTAATCGCAAAATCAAAGTGAATAGTCTCAGAGTTGTAACGCAGTAGATTTAAAGTGATTAATGTACAAGATTTCCAATTTTACTGCTTCTCAAGCAGTGTTACGATGTTGTATCAAATAGCTGAGAGCGTTGAGTGATATGCAAAACAACTCACCCGGCGGGATTCGAACTCGCGTTCCTGACCATACCAGAGCTGCTTGCTACCACTGCACCACAGAGCTCATCGTTTTGCTACCACTCCTACTTCGATATGATCTATCGAACCTGTCGGCAACCAACCTTGAACGGGTTCGATCTGATAAGCACATATCGACATTATGTCCAGTTAGGGTGACAGCTATCTGATACGTGTAGCCTATAAAAATCCGATGGTCTTGATGGCGTAGTGGTAGTCCTCTTCGCCCAAAAGAAACATGGGTCCAAATCCCAGCCGAGGTTCAAAGCTCATAGGCAAGCCTGTCGTCACCAGCAGTTTTCGCGCTCTACTGTTAATCACCCGACACCGTGCCAATGAAGCGGTCCTTTAATTGTAATCCTCTTCCAGTTATTTATTTATTTTATTTGTTTTCTACTTTTGTTTACGTCTCTCCTCTGTTTATTTATTCATTTGTTCGTTTATTTATTCTTGTTTTTTCGCTGAAACCCTTATTGTACTCATTAATTTAGAGTAGTGTGCAAAACTCGGCATCAGGCGGAACTCGAACCCGCCGTCTCCCTCTATCCGGGAGCGCCGCGTGCTCTAACCCGTTGCACCAGAGGAGTTCCGTTTGCTCACCAGTTCTTTGCACTCTTTCTTCTCGCTGAAAGATGACTCGTGTTGTAGCGTAAAAAGAGTGGTGGACAAAACGGGCGTCTGTATTGCAACAGGTTAGCGCGCGCGGCGCTCCCGGATAGAGTGAGACGGCGGGTTCGAGTCCTGCCTGACGCGAAAGTTTTGCACATCACTCTACATCGATGGGTATATTTATAACATCATACCACTACCATAAGTGGTTAAACAAAAAGGAAATCTATTTGAAAATCTTATTTTTAGCGGATATCGTCAATTCCCAGGTTGTTCACCGCCTCTTTGTAGGTGGGAAGTGTTCCCGGGTGTGGGACTGCGAGCACAGCGGAGGTTCAACCCCCTCCTCAGCAGCGCCACCCAAGCTGAGAAGGAGTCTGACGTTTCCAGTTGGGTAGCTCCATCTATGAGTAAACCGTCGTATCAGTGATGACCGCCGTCTTGGTAGCTACTAGGTGCAAGGTGGTAATCTCCCTTTGATCTAGAAGAGTCGGCGACTGATTTTACTGTGGTGACGGACTGAGGGAGCCGGGGCCAGGCTAACCTTGGGACTCCAGGGAACACAGCAGCTAGACCAGCAGAGTTTCCCTGGGCTGAGGTTCAAACATGGTGAAGACGGACCGTTTGAGTATCCAGTTGTCCTAAATTGGGACCTTCCTCCTCGCTGAGCTCTTGCGAGATGATTTGCCTTTTTTCTCTTGAGGCTTTTTTCTACTTCTTCTCTTCTCTTATCTTCATGTGAACCTTATCACCCGGTTGTGTTTTAAGCGTACTTTGATCCTTTTCTTCGGAAAACCATAGAATTCACGATATTTTTTATTTTGCAGAGGATGGTGGAGTCAACCGGTCCGGTAGCCGTCTCATCGGCCGACGAGGAAAAAGCTCGTGAACTCGCCAATTATAGGAAGAAATTGGTCGAATACAGAGACATTGAGCAGCAGCTGAAATTACTAAGAAAAAAGGTGATCTAATCCAAGAAGATAATCTACTTTCGCTCTCCGTTAAAAATCTGGTTTTTCCGTTCTTGGTGATCATTTTTAACCCCTTCAAGGACAATGTTTCATCTGCTTTTTCTACACTTTCAGTGGTCATTCGGTAGTTTGAATCTCAACATCTTTTATGTTTTACTCTATCTTTTGAAGTAGCCCTCTCAGTGTGCTCTAGCAGCAAAAATAAAATTACATTTCACACTCTGCGCGCGATTTTCGCTGTTTAGTTAGAGAATTTGTTCTCCTTTTCGTTGAGATTTATAGCTTTTCCATATCAGAGTTGTAGGAAAGTCCGCTCTATCGTTCTGCGAAGTGAGGCTTTCATTTCGAATATTTTTTCAAATAAACCTAAGCTTACAGGCTTGAGCTCAAGCATCGTAGGCCTGTAAGCCTCAAGCATATGCACGTGTAGAGGAAATCGTGGAGTATCAAAGTCGTATATTTTATTTCATAAAGTTTTTTTTCAGAGCGAAGAAAAACCCCAGATTCAATATCTAAAATAGCACGTCATGTAGGAATCGTGTTGAGTCATCGATGCACGGCTACTCACACACTTGAGCTGGCAAAAAATGCCCCCAAGTGTGAAATTTAATCTTATCGTCGTTGCTATAGCGCAATGAGAAGAGTCCTTTTCAAAAACAAGTGCATCATTGAGATCAGTGAGATTCAAGCTTTCTTGTGATATTGAAAGCTTAGTGGAAAAATTCTGTCTAGCGGCGAAAAACGCGCCGATTTTGAAACTCAATTTGGTTTTTTCTTCTACAGCGCACAAAAAAAGCCGTTTTAGAAATGAATTGAAGGCATCTAAAATGTTGCGATAACAGCTATCGAAAGACTTATAGAACTTTCTAAATAAGCAGGAAACGCTTTGTGTGCAAAAGTTAGGAATTGATTGCCGGTAAGGGAAAAGTACCGAAAATTCTTTTTCAGCTAGAGCAAGTATAAAGCAATGATTTGAGGTGCACTGCAGCACACACGCTTTTAATTAGTCGGTGGTCGTTGGTTCGATCCCTCGTCCGATCTCATCGAGCCTTCTATCCCTCCGGCGTCGGTTAACTGGTACCAGGGTTGTCTGGGAGAAAAGCAGCACTGACTTGATACACCAGCAGGCCACTTACAAGTCATTGTAAAAGCCAGATATGCATTCAGTCACCAAAACGATGCTGTGAATGGAGCCGAATGCATTCCGCATTCCTTAAGGATTCACTAATGCCGAGAGCTTTATTTTTTTATCCTTTTCGATGCGAGCGAAAGAAAGTTTTGTCCTGGCAACGTTACTAAGTGTGACAGTCGGTTCTTTTGTACATAAGGGGACTATCAAACTCTTCCAAGTGTAGAGGATAAGACTCTCAACGTCGATCAGTCTCTGAGGGATGTGCCACACATTCGTCTTCAATTTGTAGATTCTTCTGAGCAGATTGAAGGCATATATGATTTTTACAATGGCTCAAGGTGGCCCACCGATATATGAAGTCAGTGCTACTATGTCCCAGACAAATCTAGTGCGGTTGAACAACCGCCACGAGCCCGGTATCGAACCATGAACCAAGTGTGTGTCGCGGAGCACCTCTAACCGCTGCGCGACACGCGTTCATTAGAGTCTAATGAAGATGTTATTCAGGAGAGTGAATTACAAAAGACCTTCGACAAATGCGAGAACGATATCAAATCGCTGCAATCAGTTGGTCAAATTGTTGGTGAAGTACTCAAACAACTCACCGATGAGAAGTTCATCGTCAAGGTTCGTCCGATCTCATTGATTTTGTTTTGCTTACAGCTTCGTTCTATTCAGTCTCGTACTGAATTTTTTCCTCTATAGCATTTCGCACGTGTGGTGCAGTGGTTTAAAGGGGCTCTGCTACACAAACGGTCGACCAATTAGCGGTCGGTAATTCGGTCTCCGCTTGAAGATCACGAAGCCTTCTATTCCTCGGGTGTCGCTGAGTTGGTACCACTTTCCTGGGTGAATAACGGAGCACTGATTTGATTCACTGGTAGGCCCATCGCTAATCATTGTTAGAATCAGATATGCACTGAGTCGCCTAAACGATGCTATTAAGGGAGCCGAATACATGGCACACCCCTTGGCCGATGATCAACACTGCGAGCTTATCTTTTATCCTGTATAACGTTTCCAAAATACGACAGATTTCACGATGTTGTTTCGACCTTCGTCAGTTTTTCTTTTAGCCCTTTAAAAGGATATGCCTGGCCTTTACGATGACTCGCGGCGGCCTCCGCTGTATCGAGGCAATACGCTAATTCTCTCAGGCAACTTTGCGACGGGTCCGATACCAATCTATCGACCCCGGAGAGATGGATGGCTTGGTGAGCCATGAGCGCGAGGATCGTATCATCAACCTTGCGTGCGATGCAGAGCACCTTTAACCGCTGCGCCACATGCGCTTCTTGAGCCCAAGACAAACCCATCCATCCCAATTTGGAGCAACATAATGGCTGAACGATTCGCAATCCATAGAATTGGATTGCTTTCGTCTTACTTTACTTTTCTTGTCTTTCTATCTTGATTATGTTTTTTTCATAGAAATGCCATAAGAGACGATGTGTCTCGATCCATCCATAAAATGATTTTTGTAGGCCACAAATGGACCACGATATGTGGTAGGATGCCGTCGCTCTATCAATAAAGAGCAACTGAAGCAGGGCACTCGAGTTGCTCTTGACATGACCACCTTGACGATTATGTAAGTGTTTCAGTATTGGTGTTTACTATCTATTAGGTCGTTCCATAAGTTTTGCCACTAGAGCAATCAACTGCCATTTGTGTATGAATAACAAGCGGATTTGTTCCCACGACAGCTCCATCTTGAAGCAAGCATAAACAGCCTGTATACCATGATGTTTGCAAGAAAATGCGCAATGGAACGAAGGCAAAATCATGGGGTTTTATTAGTTTTTGTCAATAAATTTAATCTGATAAGGATATGACATGTTTTGAGGCGATAGGTCCAGTGCTATATAGGCGCCTATTTCGTCCTATTGGGACTCATCAGTAGCACTCTCCCTCGGTTCCGTCGATCCCTTGAGGTTAAATAATCCTCTAAAGGAATCGACGCCGAAGGAATAAATTTAGTGTTTATTGCTCTAATTCCAAAACTGATCTTATGGAACGACCTAGTATTTCTATGTAAATAGAATCAAAGTGGTTTACTTTCTGTTTTGCAGTGACCCATGATCAAATTTTGCTGTACAGATCCCAGCGCTCCTTCCATACTAGTCGTTTTGGCACACTCATCCTCCACAAATGTCTTCGAATTTTTCATGTATTACTTCGACTACTGCCTGAGGATTTCGTTTTCTATGAATATCGTAGAATGCTGGTCAAGACGGTCTTTTTTGCAATCATAGAGGTGGCCGGTCTGGAGCATTTGTAACCGATTGCAAGAAAGATTAGGGGAAGGGAGATCGGGCCAGCGCCTTCTTT